TAAAAGAACACTTACAGGAAAATAATGAACGTCATGATTTCGCACTTTGATGCTCTTCGTTTGGTCACATTGGCTCGTAGCGTCTGATTCGTCTTGGCTTATGGCAAACCGTAGTATAAAGATTGCTCGTCATCCACGCTGGCTGGTTGATCGCCGACATCATCGAAGCCAGTGGTTCTCAACCATTGATGTTTCGCGGACCCCTTGTAGATCGACGGAGATGGTGGAGGACCCCGCTCGTGGTGAAGGGAAGGAAAAGGTGTAGGTTAATTATGATAATGATTTAATAAATGTATATAAATAAATGCTAGTGTGAACTAGATTTTTCTCGTTAACATACAATCAACAACAATTGGAATGTTTCTTCTCAATCTGAAAAAAAGGCAACTTTTATTGCCGGGCTCCACCAATGAGGCAGGGCTTTGCCGATCCCTAGAGCGCCTTTGCAGACCCCCATTTCAGAAGCGCCGGTCTAGATGATGTTGGCAATGTGCTATAAGTCACGAGACAACTTTGCAAAATATTAAGGTGGCAGTTACTGTGATAAGGCAGAATCAGGGTCTTGAACTCCTGATGATATCATTTCATTATTGTGTCTGCCACATGCCTCCGTGCCATGGCTACGAAGTACAGTGGCACTTGCGCCGCTTGTGTCTCCCTTCTCCTCTTCTCCCCAGCGCATGCGCATCAAACTTCACACTTTGCACCGGGGTGCTAGGAGCAGCGGCCGACATTGGGGAGCGCCCGGGTTAGTGAAATACCTGCACAGAAATTATGCCCAGTATTATTACAGGTCGACCTTGTTTGGCCTGGATTGTAGGTTGATCTCTAATCTTCAAAACTGTGCCTAGAAGAAGGAAAAAGGAAACATCTGTCGATATCTGAATAGATACAGTAGTTGAGGTAGTTTCCGTTCCTCCGTCGATCGATGGTTCCAGTGCCATTAAGAAGCAGTGTAAATTTTGAAACAATGTAGGCTTTCATATTACACCTGGGTGGTGGTCTTTGCAGTTGATCATACAAGAGTGTTGAGTTTGGTTTATTCTTGAAACTTGGGGGAAGCATTTTTATTTACAGGATATGCTGTTTTTGCTGAAATTCTGCAGAAATTATATTAACAGGAGAAATAAACTACCGAGTGCGAAAGGGGAGGCGGGAGGGGCTTAATCACAACTGAAGCGTTGTACCACTATTCATTTTCCAACTATTTTTTAATTCCCATTGTAAATTAAACCTACTCTTACCAGTGCCTTATTTCCAAGTAGATAGAAGGCCCTGTGTTCCTTTTTGTGCCCTATCTATTCTGATTACAAAACACCTCAAGACTGTTCAAAACTGAGCGGCACATTTCACAGCATCCATTTATTCGTACCACACAAGTGTTTCTTCACTCAAACATCAAGTTCTCTCCCGCTTCTTAAAAATTGCTGTAAAATTTATCTTCTGTGTTTCATCTATAAACTATACTACCAGGATATTAGCGTTTCCTTTTTGATCCCCCTAGCAGATATTCACTTCGAACCAGCAATAGCAGTAAGTTTCAAGCACCTGACCGATACAACTAACGCCTTTATCAACTCGGCCTTTCCTTAAGGCAGTGGTTCTCAAATGGGGGTCCACGGACCGTTTGGGGTTCGCGAAGGCATTCTAGGGGTCTGCAAAGCCCTGCCTCAAGAGTAAAGCCCGGCAATAAAAGTTATTTTTTTCAGATCGACAAGAAATGTTTCAGTTTTCGGGCGAGTTTTCTCGTGTGTATGTCAGTAAGAGAAGTCTACTTTACACTGCCCTTGGTCATATCCATTTATTAAATCATTCTTACATTTAACCTGCTCCTTCCTCCTCCCTTCACCACAAACGGCATCCTCCATTATCTCCGCCAATCCACAAGGGGTCCGCGAAACATTGATGGTTGAGAATTACTGCCTTAAAGACCGACGACCAGTCCGCGCTTTCCACTTTTTTCTCGCTTCCTTCTCTCCCCCTTCTACCCTGTCCACCGTTGCCTGTTTCCTCCTCCCCCATGGTGAGGAGGATCTTCTGCCATGCAGAATCTCGAGTCTGGTCGTCGGCCTTTAAGGCATTGAGATTGAAATGTCTTTCCTAGTTCCATACTAGACATTGCCGACTCAAAATCATTTCGTGAATCATTGACCTCACTTTCTTTTCTACATAATTCATTTCTTGGTAATATTAAGTTGGACTCGCATTTCTCACTTTTCCCCCAACAAGATACAACACTTGTGTCCCGGATGACTGTCGTTCCCAGGTGTTCTTTCTTGGTGGTCTTTCAGTGTGTGCTCTGTTCCGATTCAGTGTTACGCTTTTCTGCCCCCCCCCCCCCCCCCCCCCCCCCCCAACCCCAACCCCAACCCCAACCCCAACCCCAACCCCAACCCCAACCCCAACCCCCTATGCGATGCCCTTCGGGGCGTTTAATGGTAAATAAATGAAATAAGTGACATGTTCCAGTGTCAATGTAAAACCCTCAATCATTTTCACAGATGAACTCATTTAGCAATGCAGTCGATTTGAAGGGAAGTGCTAACAGTTGTGGGCATCTGCTCATAAAGCATCATGGCTGCTCCAACCCAATATTTTGCCCGCTACAGAACCTGCTACAAAAGGTCAAATGTCACTTCCATTACTGTTATATGTGTGGCAGAAAAATAATATGTTAAATGCACTTCTTTGTTCACTTCTGATGTTTTGCTTTGCTGGTGGAGCCAAATTTTTTTTCTTCAGGGAATGGAACTTTTTGCATGTTCTCACTTAACATAGGTAGGGGTGTAACATAGCTTACAGTATTTTCTTGCTTTTAATCTTCATTTTTCTACCCTACAGGCTCGGTTCCTCACTTCAGGAACAGCTTGAGATCTCTTCCTGACTTGGTTTGCCAGACTCTCGACTCCTACGAGGTCCCACATTGGGCATTGCCAGACCAAAGTAGTCCTGCAGCAATGACCGGCATAATGTCCAAACAATTGTTATGCAGAACGGCATTCTCTAGGAAGCCACTGAATAATGATTTCTGGGGGAGGGACAAACTTTTTTTTATTAATGTCTTTCATTGTTTTATGCATTTGCATCCCCTTTGTCTGGGCCCGGAAAAGACACAAAAACAGTGCAACCCAGCTTCTTCTGCCCTGTAATGCTCTCAGTTAGCGTGCATGCTATTACCTTCATGTTTTGGTCACAATTTCGTAGTGCCACACCAGTCAAGTGTCTGTTTGGGTTGCCACAGAGTATATGGGGAGAGTTTGGTCAGTCTATGATCTCGCCGCCGTAACGCTCTCCTCCCGAGCGAGCCAATCAGCACGCGGCGCAGAGCGAGAGGCATGAGCGCATGCGCGCAAACTCCCGGCTGCTCGCAGCTGAGTGGGGAGAACCGCCATCTTCGATCATTCTCCCGGCGGAATGCGTGGGATCGGCATCTAAATCTCGATTATTGCCTTTTATATCGCTGGCTCTGGCAAGAAAATGACATTCTGTTATTCCTTGGTGGGTTAAAAAGCTAATAAATGAAGATTTTTCGGCGTATGGCCACAAACTTTTATTCAGGCGAAAAAGAAGCCGGCTCGTAGCAGACGACGCGTAGCCTCAGCAGCGCTCTTCACCGACCAGTCTCCGACAGCGTTGCTCAAAAATAGCGGTCATCTCCTCTCTGCTTTCTTCTTTCTCTCTCGCTCCTTCGGCGCTCTCCTCCCTTTCATTTACTTTTCTCCTCTCCGGAGCCTTCGTCGCCACACCCACTGGCCAAACTCTCCCAATATACGGCTCTGGGTTGCCAAGTGTGAGTCAGCGGCAAGGCATCACGTTTTAGCTCTGTTTTTTTTTATTCCAAGTCTTCCAGAAAAGAGTTCCAATTATGATGAATTGCAATCTTTTGGTGTTTGTTACTGACTTTTCACAGAATGTGTATGCTTTTAGAGAGATTAGTGTGCACTGCTAAGGTGTGGCTGTACAAATATTCTTACTTTTTGTCGTTGAATTTATAAGTGCTTAAAATTTTACGCCAATTTTCTTTTATTTCCAGGGTCATTCCCCATGTCCCAGCGTGCAACAAGGAGGAATTCCTCTTGTAGCATGCATGCTGTATTGGCTCAACCTTTACATTGTTGCGAGAAACCTTCAGGTTCACAACAAACATTTATGATTGCTTGGTGTGTGTTTGGATAGCCATACCCTTGTTCAGAGTGTGCGGTGTCTAGTGCACTTGGTCATGCTTGATTTTTCTGCAGCATGTTGGACCAACTGACTGATTAGTCCTTTCATGGAACTCTTTTTGCTCTTGCCAAAATGTCTAGCAGTGTTTATTTTATTAGTTACAATTCCTGTGTGTTCTCACTACCAAGTGTACAGTTTCTGGAAGGTTTGCATCATGGGGCCATATTTGTGCAATATTTGGTTTGCTTTTACCTTTTTTTAGAATGTTCCCTCAGTTTTTTTACAATCTGGTTGACTCTTGATCTCCTCTCATGTCATTTTTGGGATTGCTAATCTTGGAAACCACTTCTGCCTAGGGAAAAAAACTACCAATATCCCATGTTCGACTAGTTTTTGCTTTGTCCTTAGTCCGTATTTATAAAGTTTATTTTCGGCAGAAACCTTGCGACTAGGTAGTTCAGTTTTTATCAATCTGGCACCTGTTATGTTCCTGAACCTTAAATGCATTCCTGCTCATGTTGAATGGTGTAAGTTCCGTCTAACTGAAATGCTTCATTTGCCTAATGCAAGTTGTAGCAAATGTATGTAGACTTTAGGTGACATTAGATTACGCTAAAACCTGCTGTGCCACCTTTCCCATGGGTAACAAGTTTTATAATGTTCTAAAGTCCAACCACCTGCCCAGAATTTTTGCCACCTAAACATTGTGAGAGCAGGTACAGATGGGCTTTATTGTGACATTGAATTGTATCACAATCAGACGTGTCTGTAGCCCGAGTGAAAACAATGCTCAGACACATAATCACCGACAGCCATCCCACTTGTTTGATTTGCAGACGGCGAGGTAGAAGAGAGCATTGAGACGGACAGTGCTAACGACGACTACGCCGATCCCCGGCAGAGTGACGACGAAAACTCGGCAAACACTGGATCAAAATTGCATCACTTCCGGCAGCACCACCTCTCGCCTCTCCCGCCGCTCGTGATCAGCCACTCACTGCCCTCCTGGCCCCGCAACCACCGTCATGCCCACGCCGAGACGTCACCGGCGACACCTCTCGTTCCATGGTTGACAACAACAAGTGGCGACGCTGCAGCATCACCCGGAAGTCTCTTCTTCCCGAGCCCGTCGTCGCCGGGGGTGATCCATCGAAACGCATTGCCACGAGAAAGACGACACTCGATGCTTCCACAGTTGCCTGTTCGGGGCAAGCAGGACGCCCTCTCCATCCTGCCGTTGCCGTTCTTCTGCAACGACGGGGCACGCCAGCGGAGGCCACCCCACTTTGTGACGGAGTCGGATCGCCGGAGGGAGCACAGCAGCCAGGAGCGGAAACGTCGGGACGAGATCAACTCGGCGTTCGAGGAGCTGCGGATGGCGGTGCCGAGCCTGTGCGGGCGGCCCGGCGTGCATAAAGTCAAGATCCTCGGCCACGCGACACTCTTGGCGAAGGAGCTCTCCGCGCAGAGCGGGAACCTTGAGCGGGAGTTTGAGAGGGAGCTTGGTCGGCAGCGGCGACTATGGAAGGCGCTCTCTAAGCTGCAGTGAGTTGGGGATCGGGGCGTTTTGTGACGCTGGGGGGGAAGGGGGGGAAGGCGCAATGTGGGTCGGACTGTTTGAAACGGCGTGCAATACGACTTCTTTTTATTTTGTTTTTGGTTCGGATGTGTTTGTAAAAGCTCGTGGATGGTAGGCGGCTCATCTCGACTACCGAAAATTTAGGAGACTGTGATGAGGACAGAGCATGCATGCGAGTTAGGCCGTTCAAGAGTCCGTCTCAAAGGTTGACTTCAGTACTGGCAAAGGCATGGGAGCAAGCTCGTAGTTTTCGAAAGCGCCTTTTAATGTTTCGGTGCTCGTACACAAAACATTCCGCAGAGCCATGCTTTCATGCTTGTGTCTGCAGTGTAGAAGTAAATTTTGAGAGGAAGTATAAGCATTAACCTCTGTCTAAAACAACAAAATAAGGAACTATACATTACCTAAAACAGAACCCTTTTGTATGTCGTGTAAAGGTTCTGACAGTCTTGATATACCAAATGGAATAGATTTGTGTTTTGCAATTTATAAAAAGGAGCACTGTTTGATTGGCTTACAGACTTCTCAAACATGTCAACCCATAGTCTCTCTAATTGAAACGAACATGCCACAAAAGCCAAGGAAAGCGTTCTTGACGTGTGTTATGGGGATCCATTTGGCAATGCAGCATCTATGATGTTTATAAGCTGATTGACATGTATCAGTACCATAATATGGCAGTGCTATACACCATGAAGCAGCTCAAAATCAGAATTTATTCTCATTTCATCAACCAGAAGAGTGCAATAAAAACAAATCAGTTTTGATTTTCTACTAGCGCTGGAAATCCTTCAGTGATGTGATGGATACTTCTTTTTGAGACCATGTGGTAGGTCAGGTTTCCACACTAAAACATTGCTTAGGCATAATTTGTAGCTTTAAAATCGTTGTTTAGCATTAAAATGAAGAAAGAAATGGGCCAGTTGGTACATGATTCTTTTAACAATATGAGCTGTAAAACAGGAACAAAAGGAGAGGAGCGCAAGACGATGTGCTTCATGTTATGTACCTGTCCTTTTTTCTCTTTTTTATGGAGCATATTGTTTAAAGAACGTTGTTTGGTTGTTACTTGTGTTATGCCCCACAACACCCTGTGGGGCAGTTGTTTCTGTATAGAAAGTGTGTATCAGGTTTTATTTTTGGGTGCTTCCATATGTCTGATCTGATGTTTGTTCACACTCAGCAATCGAATGTTCACATCCTCAGACCTGCTAGTCATTACCGGGAAGGTTCAATATGAAAGGAGGTTAGACTTTCAGCGGCAAGAGAACCAAGTTCTAGGCAACTATCGCTTCTATATGCGATGACATTTCAGAAACTTCTCCTTAGTTAACTCCACAAGTCATACAAGATATGTGGTTATTCCATCGCATTTGCGGTAGCTCGGAAATCTGTTAGTCCTACATTTGGAGGACAAGTGTACCATATGTGCAAAGTAAGTTGTACCTTCTTTGGGTTTGCGAGTACTGCTTTGAATCAAATAGGGCTGTGTCACTCCTAGCTTCAACTCTTCAAAGAGACCCAGTGTGCTGTGGGGAACTGTGAAAGTTTCCGAAGGATGAGGCACTATTCGATTCGAGCTACAATTCGCATAAAATAGTTTTTTTCCCAAGATTACAGTTTCACTAAGGCAATACAAAAGCTTTCTTAGCTTTGAAGTGCTACACATACAAGTCAAACAGTTCCAGATCTCATTTGCACATTGACACTTTCAGACCAGCTCATTACCTTTCTCCTAGTATACTGCTGAAAAATATATCACATTACAAGATCAATCTATTATTAAGCAGATCAGCATAATAAGCTCAGAAAAATAAATTTGTATAATACGACATACAGCAAAATGTAGCTTGATGATGGGTATTTAAATGTATTACAAACATGTATAGGTTGATTTGACTCAGACCACAGTCCAACATCATTTGTTTAACCCACCCTTTTGTGATAATCAAGGCTGGTAACTTTGGTTCATGCAGAATATTGTTAAATTAATTGCGCTTGTACGTTGGATTTTCTTCAAGTTCATTGCCCCCTAAGCATGTAAACTTTCGACGAGGCTTTCGAGGGTGATTGCTTCATAAACCCTAATTATGGATCCCGTTGTTTTTTATTTTTGTTTTTTTTTATGATGCCAGTTGAGCGTATTCTAATTTATTTATATTGTAATACTCCTAATATATTACCGTTTTTTACACTTGCCATGACTTCTGGGTGTCGAGTGGTAAGTGTAAATACATTAATAAAATTTTGATAATCGTAAGTATGTTTTTTGTTTTTATTCCCACTTGTTGGATTGTGCATTCAACTTGGATACGTCTATTTTTTGTGCCTCATGCAAACGATTGATTGTGCATAACCAGACTGCACAGCGGAAGACTGTGGAGCAGAATAACTTGTTCCATATACGTGTTCAATTAACATGTTTCTTGCCTATGTCACTTTCAGAGTTTGCCTGTAGCACGTGCTTTCATTGCTTCCCAAAATGACAAACTTGTTCTTTTTTATTTTGTAAACATTCGAGTGATGTGCACCATGGTTGCGCTCTACCTTCATCGGCTTGTAGAACCCTTTCGTAGGTCTACCCTTTGTTAGAAGCCGTTGAGTTCCTTCACAACGGCAGACACAAAAGACTATCGAACACCTCAAAACCAGGTGTTCGATAGTTTCGCTCTCCATTCCACATATGTAACAAACTGTATCTATATCTTCGAATTTTGCCCTATAAGTCTTCGTTCTTAGCGCCCCAGTTCTGGCCTCAAACAGTAAAGACCTCCCCCGTGGCACACACTCTGCATTTGGTTGGATTATGACATACAGAAAAAGTGATGAACGCAATGACGTTGCCCTTTCGCCAACTTGTGGTGAAACAAGGTACGGACATGCAACTATACATCGTTTCACTTAAAATCCGGACGCACGATGCTAAGAGCTAATGGGACTGGTCAAAAGACGTCAACAGTGGAAGTCCCTGGGGCTTCTCTGTACATGATTGGTGCAGCGATGGCAGAACGCGTACAGAAACACGAAGAACTCCATTTTGGCGCGCTTTTGACGCTGATTGATTGGTACCATCAGCTCGTAGCGGTGACTGCGTACGGACTCGACTCGAAACTTGAAACAAGGTTTATATCTATTTCATTGCCCTCTCGTGTAATGACTTGCATGATTCGCAGGAATCCCAGAGAAAAACTCACCGGAGATAAGCCCACGGGAGAAAAGCTCGCCGGAGAAAACTCGACGCAAAACCGGTGGATGCGGAGAAAAGTTCACCGTTTTTGTTTTGTTTTGTTTTCTCTTTTTTTATATATATAGAGGCTGTTGAATTCTTCGAAACATGTCAGCTTATTATCATTAAAATTCGTCAACTTTGTAAAAGGAGAAAATGTACTGTTTTTGTAGTATTTGTTAAGCTTATTGAGGGTATATTGCTTCCAAATTTATAATTGCCGGTTAGTGTTTTCTGGGTTTACTCTCTAGGCAACGAAAGCCTAACTGAAAACTTCAGGAACATGAGGAACAGGAGAAAGTTCGAAAAGTTAATGTCTGCCTGAAACCTAAAAATCAAAACTAAATTCCGAAAATCGGAAACTGCATGCGCAACAACGCGGTGCCTGGAATTCTGTTTTAAGCTTCTGTTAACCTTTGGAAACAGGATAAAACAGTCAGTAGGATATCGAGGTTTCTTTCTTCCACGGACAGGCACGTTTTCCAGCCGTTCGTGCTGGTGTTTCCACACGTTGCCTTTGTGTGATTGTGCCCTTCTACCGCGAGTCACCCATGAGCTTCAGAGCTGCAGACTCACCGTTGTTACTCGTGACCTATATAAGAACTAGTCTTCTGTAAGGTAGCGAATTGGGCAAGTTGGTTCAAGGGATACTGAACCAAAGAATTTAGTGCCCATAATAAGTGGCGCACGTTCTTTCCACGAGCCAACAGCCGCCGGTGTGCGTGAGCACACGCAATGAAAATGTCAGACCTAGAGGACAGTGAAATGCATGGGCTTCGGCCAAAGGACAATAAAGACAGGCTTTTCATCTCTACAAGTGAAAGCTACATGCTTGTTAGACCAATTAATCGCTTACCTTTTACACCAGACACCACTATGTAGATGAAAAACTTGTCTTTACTCTCCTTTGGCCCGAAGCCCACACATTTCACTGTCATCTTAACCGCGAATGGAGGTCTTTGACGTCATTTTTGTTGCGTGTGCTCGCGCACACCGGTGGCTGCTGGCTCGTGGAAAGAACGTGCGCCACTTATTATGAACACTAAATTCCTTGGTTCAGTATTCCTTTAACGTAATACATGATGAAAACCGCTCAAACGACGACGACGGAGTGAAGACAACAAATACGACAGGACGAAGCTGCTCTCGCTACTAAAGTTTTTTCAGTGAAATTAACAGAAAGAAAACAGCGTAGCCGCCACTGATTACATAAACAAACATATTTATCCATCAGGCACTACACAACCTTTGGAGCTGAAGCGGTTCACACACCGCTATTCCTGTTAGCTCGCAAAGAACAAACCTCTTTATCTGACAGAGCTACCGACGGCGCACTGTCAGCTGTCAATAAATTGTTGTCTTTTTTTTTTTTTACCGGTGTACGATGTTCTGATTTTATACTTGCGGCTTCATTAATATACAGAATGGGTGATTACTAATTTCTGAGGAATTAGTAAATAGGCCCAATGAACTTCAAGAATATTACAAAAAAGAGGACATATTTTTTTAATGAAGTCACGAATTCGAATTGTGTTAAATTGCCACGTGTGACGCAGCATTTGCTAAGCTGAGGAAACATTTAGAAAAATCTGTGAACTTTTCTCCCCATCTGCTCAAAGGCCGGTGAGCTTTTCTCCGGTGAGCTTTACACCGGTGAGCTTTACTCCAGCGAGCTTTTCTCCGGTGAGCTTTTCTCCGCCACCCGCTTCACAGTGTACGTTGTTCCGCCTTTATGGTCCCGTCATTCTATACTTCGTTTCAGCTTCGGTCCGAGCGCGGCCGATGTTATGAGCCGAAGGGCCAATCAAACAGCAAAAGAGGCTTAATGTCATGGCGTGCACTCTGCAGTTGATAGGACCAGTCGGTATTCGCCGTCTCTCTTTGCGTGCTCCTCCGCCGGCTAGTCCAATCAAGCACAGAGAGCACGCCATGACGTTGCGCTTTTTGCGCTGTTTGATTGGCCCTTCTGCTCATAAGATTGGCCGCGCTCGGACATAAGGTGAAACTGATATTAACAGTCGGCCCGTGAGAATTGAAAGAAGCCTATACTCAAAATGGCACATGTTAGATTCAATGCGCTCTAAACATGTGTATGGGGGAGAGAGAGAATAAACGTGGCGCATGCGAGTCCTCGGTGGGGACACGTTTTATCTGAATTGCATATCACATCATCCGAAAAAAAGGAAAACCATCTACACACAAATTCAGCCTATATCTTCCGCATTCGTTTTTCCTTGCGCATGATGCTTACTACAAATCCGTCTGAATGTGCTATTAAAAATCGTAATCATTTTTTTTTTTTTTTTACGCAACTGCAAAATTTTGGCTTACTAAAACGCAACGCCCATGAAGGTCGTGCGCTCTTTGGAATATACGTTGTGCTGAGAGAGGCTTGTCGAGGCGAGAATGAAGTTTAATGTTTCTTTTCGCTACAGCTTTTTAGTAACGTTCAGCAAAACTCGGAAGCTACGACCCCCGCGAATCGACGAGAGCCAACGTGGCGAGGCTTCTCAAAACGCGCTGTCGAAAGGTACTCCATGTAAAGCGCTGTTATACGTACCTCATCCTTCACACGTTGGTATGACGTCATACAATGTTCACGTTAATTAATACTGTTTCAGCGTGATTAGTAATGAATATTTCAGTTATTGCTCGCAATATCGGACGTTGCTCGAACTTATGATATCATAATAACGTCGTGCTTGCGTGACGTGAGTGGAAGGATCACGTTTTGCGTCATGAATGTTTTTGTCGGTCGATTCGTCATCACGCTTTGAAAGTTCGATTAGGCGTTAACGTCACGGTGGCAGGAAAGTATGAGTATCGTGTGTGCGTCGTGTATGTTAATGAGCTGATGCAGGCGCATTGCGTGGTTGCCGTCAAAACAAACGGCGCCAGCGGAAGTTCGGAGAACGTAACGTTTTTATTCTGTTTCGAGGTGAATTCATAACGGTTACTTACGGCCTTTCTCGTACGTGTTCCGCGCTTTGGTTAGCATCGCATTCAAAGGGACAGCTTTCAGAGCTTACCGCTATCTAATTCAAGAGCTAAAAGCGTTTTTGAAAATGTTCAATATGAAAATGGCGGCCGAGAAAACCCGCGAATGTAAGGGGATGAATGACGTGGGCTACTGGCAACGGCCTAGACGACGCAGAAATGTTCCTCAGGACAGTCAATGGACGTACATGCGAGACATCAATGATATACCTCGGGAACATCCCAGACTCGACCAACATAGAGGTCGCAGGTCAGAACCCGCATTCCCAGATGTGCGTGTCGAGTGACACCGTCGATAAAGGCGTGGTTATGATTGGATTGCGTCCTGACTGACGTTGCACGTCTCGCTCGGGAGTACTACTCTCCGGGATTCCTTTTATGCCTGGTGTGATGTAACTGCCGACAACCGGTTGGCGCACCAAACTTTGAGCGCTGCGACATGGCCTCCGCGATTTTTGGTGCGGAATGCTCTCTTCTGGCCCTTCGAAACGCTCGCTTGTCCACCAGAAGGAGTGTGGCACAGTTTCTCCAGAGGATCGCAAGACGGCGCTGATACAGAGTCGGCATTAGGGTGCCTCAATATGCGTCTTTCATAGGGTGAAGACACCCATTGTTGTATTGAAAGCTGCCTGCGCGTGCCGAATGGGCCTTAATTAAAATGGCGCCAAAGCACCGGGCAGGGCTAAGCGCTCCGAACGAGATCGAAGCGCGTGCAGTCTGGGCATAGAAATGGCCGAAATGCCGCCACCCTAAGACAGACGTGGCGAAAGTGTATGAAGGCACCCTAGTCGGCATCAGCAGTCAGCACCTCAAACGTTAAATGTTTGCACGCAAATGAGCTCGCATCTTCGTTAACGCTGCGAAGACTTGAGGCGCGCGGGAGTGTTGAGACGGACACGATTCCACCGCCGCTCATCTGGTGCGCCAGCTGACTCGACTGCTTTCTTTTGCCCAGCCTTTGCTAAGACGCGGCTTTAGCAAGCTGACCCTGATCATCAATAAGCAGCGGGGCAGAGATTGCCTCAGAAAATTCCACTGCGGCGAAAAGACCGAAGCCGTCAAAGTTCTGCCGAAAGCAGTCATGGCGAGACGGCGGCCGAGAAACACGTGAGTGAAACGCGAAAAACGACAGGTAAAGTTAAGCAAACAACGAAATCATAAAAGAAACGACACAATTTGAAGTCCCAAGCAAATGACGTGACCATAAGAACACCCCTTACCTCCTATTTAGTAACGCGATCTCCGAGGAAATAGTGGGTATGACGTTTCGCCTGCCCAGTCGCACAAAGAAAATGGTATTTTTGGGGTAAGAAGCTTCATTGAAACTCGTCATTGATTTGCCACTATTTTTCGACCAAAATGACCGCATGAAGACAATTAAGCGTGCAAGTAATAGCAGGCCTTTGCTTCACTCCACTCGTCGAAGGCGTTCGAATGCGAGAGTCAAACACCAGACGACTGCGTTCCGCGTTTAAAAGCGTTCGACGAGTGCAGTGGAGGCAAAGGCTGCTAGCTTTAGGCCTCTACCTAGGGTGCCTTAATAGACCGATATCACCAGCTAGTTTGAGTACTCCACCGCTGCCGACATGCATCGTGGGAGCTGTAGTCTTTCTGCACGCTCGACAACCCTGCTGGAGCTCTGCGCGAGCAGACCACGAGGCAGCATGAGCTATCTCGTGAACTGGCGCCTGCCTCCTACGAACTGCAGTTATGGCGGCGTCACGCTTGCGTGCAACGCTTAGTGAGATCGGTCTATTGCCGGGGGTTTAATCTCGCATATCATTTGCACGCGTTCTCGCGCAAACGAAAGCGCAGATGAAGCCTCGCGCTCGCACCAGTCTGCTTTGACAGCGTTGTACACTATAGACCTTTCTAATGTTTACAGAATCACAGTCCAGCTTGCGATCTTCACAGCCCAGCGCGTGCGTGTTCGTCGCTTCGGAAAGCGAGCAAAGCACGCGCCATACGCTCGAACACTCAAAATTGCACCGGCCCCACACTTTTTTAGAAAGGTTCTATAGACTCCATCTCACAAATGTCTCAAGTAAAGCAAAGGCATGGGCGCGTGAGCCTATAGCTCAACAGAATGCTTTTGACACTAATAATCCCCGGAGAAGGGGAACAAAGGGGACAACAGACAAACACTAATCTGTCATTCTTGTCCAGCTCGCTTGCACATTTGCATGAAGTGCATTATAATCACAAGCTTAAACTGCAGATCGTTTATCCTTGTTGGTGTTAGGCTGGTGGCAGCTAATAAAAAACATTTGCTCTACTGCCGTCTAACTCCGGGTTAGCTCTGTTGGCAGAGCGCTCCACTGGAAATAGAAAGGTCGCTGGTTCGATACCAGGACCAGGCGGATTTTTCCGGTCACGCACCAGTCACCTGGCTGTGTTTGGAGATTAGTGCTTATCCTTTGACCCCTTTGTTCCCATTCTCCAGAGATCATTCTTGTTCAGCTCACTTGCACCTTTCCATTAACTGCATTATAATCGAATGCATTTGTTCGTGCGAGACCAGGGTACGAGGCACTCTCCGAAGCGACGCGCTCGTGCTCATGCTTTTGCCTCCACTGCAGATATTTCTGAGATGGAGTATGAGTAGGAAACGGAGTATACACCATTCCTATATTTACAAGTCCTCAGCCCAGCGTGCGATATCCTCAGTCCAGCACGCGCGCGTTCGTCACTTCGGAAAGCGAGCAAGTCACACGCTATACCCAAGAACGCTGAAAATGGAACCGGTCAGGAGCCCTTTTTTGAAAAGGTCTATAAGTATGAAATAGAATATAGTCAAGCCAACGTTCCCAAATCTATCAGTTGACAAGCTCCATGGAAGAGCGTTGTTCGAAAAGGTTCTTCTCTGTTGCTTGCTCGCGAGGTACGGGCGGGATAGCGTTCGTATAAATGAGGGATAGTGTGTAGACCTCAAGGCAGCTTGCTTTGAGGTCTACCCACTGTCCTCCAATCGGAGCCAGTCAGGGCTCGGCGTCTTTCTGACGTCATCGCAACTCCTGCCCAAGGAGCTGACAACAGAGAAAGACACTTTTGGAACGAGCTTTTTCTGCTCGAAATTTATGTTTGATATAAAACAAAGAACAAAAGAAAAACTTCAGTGGAATCACTTTCCACCGCGAGCGATGTGCATCCAGCGTTCCCCCGGTTCCGCTGCTCCCTCCATATAGGGCGGGCTGATAGCGCAGCGAACGCTAACCTAGTGAACGTGCCACGAAGAACTGCCAGGCGTGCTAGGAACCTTGGGAACTGATTTGGTTGAGTCAAGCGAGCTCGGTAATGATGATTTCTGGCCTACTACCTAGCGCCACCGAGCGGCGGAAACAGCCTCGAGCCATTTCCTTGTCTATGTCAGCCTTTCCCGAAGAATAGAATAGCCAGAGGAGAGCTTTGAGCACCAAAAATCTCGGAGGCTATGGCTCCGAGCGCGTGCTTTTGTCACGCGAGCTGGGCGCATATCTCGTGAGATAAAAAGCCCGACCGAGCCAGAAGTTCCAAAACGCTGTCCGGGTATTTGCCTATCTCAGACAACATAACACCTGGTACCCGTCGTCTGCAATGTGGCCCGAGGCCGTCTGTCTCAGCTGCCTCCTGGCCTGGAGTGCGGTCTCTTCAGCGGCTGACGTGGAGTCAGTGAAAGCGGTGAACAACTGCCGCCCTGCCCTGCAGTCTTTGCAGATAGGCGACAGAGCGACGTGTCCGTTCAGCAGGATAATCCACGAGGACTTTAGTAGGATCCCGCCGAAGATACCGATGGTGAGGTGCAACTGCCCTGACAGTCTGTGCAGTGAACGGGGTGACTTTCGCTGTCAAGAGATCAAAGAGCAGATTATGGTCGCGTACTTTTCGAAAGGATCGTTCACGGTTCGGAAGCAGACTGTGGAGTTCACGATCTCGTGCGTCTGTGCTGCCAACCGAAGCGCCCCAGCCCCCGGAGGTGGCCAGAGACCCCACAACGAAAGCAAAAATGTTACCTCTATCGTTTGAATCGAAGCGACTGCCATTCCACACGACATATAAACGCAGAATTAAACTTGAATACCATTCGAGTCTGTGGTTCAGTTCCACACATTCCAGCGGCAATAAAATCCGCTTAATGACTTTTGTATCCGTTCATTTGTCTTTTTGTTCTTCAACCGGAAGCGCGCGCCGGTCGGAACCCACATCCCCCGATGTACGTGTTGAGCAACACCGTCCACAAAGGCTGGGATTCGATTGGATTCCGTCCTGACTGACGTTACACGTCTCGCTCGAGAGGAATCATTGAAGCGGTAATATAAACAGCGCTGTGCACCATTAGTCTCCGGGGTTCCCTCCATACCCAGTACACTTTGTCCACAATGTTGCCGGGGGCCGCGTTTCTCAGCTGCGTCCTGGCCTGGAGAGTGGTCTCATCAGCGGCTGGTATCAAGTCCTCATCAGCGGTGGACGGCTGCGCCCCTGCCCTGGAGTCCACGGAGATAGGTGACAGAGCGACGTGTACGTTCCAGAGGATGGTGGACAAGGATGCCACGAGAATGCCGCCGGAGATACCGACGGTGAAGTGTAACTGCTACGACACTGTCTGCAGCGAAACGGGTGACTTCCGCTGCCAAGAGGTCAAGGAGAAGATGGTTGTGTCGTACCTGGTGAAGGGGTCGTCCGTGGTTCGGAACCAGTCTGTGGAAGTGACCACCGCGTGCGTCTGTGCCGCCAACCGAAGCGTACAAGCTCCCGGAGGTGGGGACAGACCCGCGAGAATATACGAAAATGGTACCTCTATTGTTGGAAACGAAACGACGACCGTTGGAAACGAAACACTGTTCTAAAGGTATGGGGCCCCGAAGAATTTGGTCGAAAAGTCCAGTAAGCGAAACAAAGGGTCCCTGAAGTCAACATAGCAAAAATCCGTGTTCGGAGACAAAAAAAAAAAAAAAATTAACAACTCACCGGTCTCGGGTTTTTATGCGATTTTGTAAGTTCGTTAGCGCGGCCATGCCATAATCTCTCTACCCCCCCCCCTTTTTTTTCTCGTGTCTTATATGATATTAATAACCCATATATTATTGTAACGGCAGTATTTATTAGCGTTCATGAATTCTGCAGCGGTGCGATTGTAATGGGGATGTGCTTGAACAGGGGAAAAGAAAGAGTTAGATGTTGAGTTGCTTTGTCAAACTTCGATGTTACGAATTTGGTTTATCGCGCAGTTTGTTGTTTACTAAGGTATACGGGTATGTCGTGCATTCAATAGGTTTCAGAATAAACACATTTTGCTCATAACATTCGTATATTTTGACAATGAGCACCTAGTTTCGTGGTGCTGGATTCGTTGGTACAGTGCTCTTGGAATACCGTGAATTTGAATGAGTCATTATCAAAAAAGTTTCTTGCTGAAGCTTCAGAACCATAAGCGCGTATATTAGTAAGCTGGAACTTCTTTATAGTGTATGTGAGGGACATGTGGCGCTGCCTGTCGTTATTTATTGTCTTCTCTGCTACAAAGTTACTTTTTACGTTTTATAAAGGAAAATGTTTGAACCAGAAAAACCTAGGTAGTTGATCTGCTTGTGTCATTTCTTTTTGATATTCTCGCAGAGCTTCCTTCGGCCTGACGGTGGTTTCTATGCGTTCGCATTTAGCTCAGGCCGAGTGCCCCAACATCGTTCTGTACGACAAAGTTATCGTTGAAACTCATTGACGCAAATCCCGCGTATTGTTTCTCCACTTAGTGACTCGGTGTCACTTGTGAAATCATAAGATGCGTGACAAAGTTAGCGTGAAGAACACTTCTGAGCTCACTCGCATTTGACTTTTTGCGGTGTAGGCACCCATTTCGTTGGTGGGCTGAAGTATGTGGTGCCTGGAACACGTGTCCAACTCAAGTGTTCAGCGTCCTATGCGGAACTCCAGTTCGTCTGCTTTTGCATGGGTTGTGGTGACGTCAGAACGACGCCAAGCTCTGATTGGCTCTGGTTGAAGGGTAGGGGGTAGACCTCAAGGCAGCTTGCTTTGAGGTCAGCTCACTATCCTTCAATCAGAGCCAATCGGAGCTCGCCGTCGTTCTGACGTCACCACGACGCCTGCAAAAGAAGCAGACGAATTGGCGCTCCGCAAACCGTCGATGTTTTGAAAATGTTTCTTAAGTGGAAACAAACGACGCCACACGAGCCAGCCTGTCATGTCGGATATCGCGATCCTGGCGGAATTGGTCGTAGAAGTTCCGGTAACAAGTATGCGAGCGAAGGCGACTGTCGCTGTCGTCGCGGAGTCCCGACCCTCGGCTGCCGAAACCCCCTGTGTGTTGTCAAGCCGAGGAGTGACCTGCAGCAGAACAAGTGAGCGCCGATTATTGGCAAATACCAGCGTGTCGATTGAACGTCGGCAAAGAAATGTTAACCTACCGAGTTCCGAGATTCTCAGTTTACCAATTTTTGACAGTATGAATATAGATAAATTAAGTTTAAATGAATTACGTTCTGCCATGTATAGCTTTGACATAGTGTACTGATATTTGGTTCTGTATTTGTATGTTGTAGCTATATGTTCTCGGTTAAGTTGTTAATGTGGTAATTCCTCCTCATGTGCATGTATTTATATTTATTATGGAAACGTAGATCTGGTATATTTATATTGCTTTGAAAATTGACAGGGTTATTGATATTGGTTTAATGTGCTTGCTCTGTGATTGAATACCTTTGTGTTTTAGTTGAATGTTCCCCGTGACTGCTGCAGAATGTCACTGGGGCTGAAAGCTTGTCAAGCCGTCTATCGCGACTTTTATTCTCAGCCCCATGCATCATTATCTGTAATGGGAAATGAAAATAAAGCGTTTATTAATATTATTATTAATATTATTATTATTATTATTACTACTATTATCGTGCTGGGATTTTCCACAGAGGTGCTGCTGGGTGGTGCACGCATGAGGTTAAATTACCAACGGATAAACTTGCCTCGTTCAGGAAAGAAAAAATGATAACCTGTTTCGGGCAATCTACGGCGGCCATTTCCCGAGCGACGCAGACGGTGTTCGCTGATTTGGAAACGCTGCCGACAGATGGCGTATGCATCGAAAAGCTTTCGCTAGCTCGTCTGCTCTCGAAACCGGAATCGGCACGCCCCGTGCGCCTGCGGTGCATACGCCATCTGTCGGCAGCGTCTCCAAGTCAACGAGCACAGTCTCTGCTTCCCGGGAAATGGCGCTGTAGATTGCCCGAAATAGGTTCCTCTTTTAGCGATAGCTTTACGGGCGACACTGTGCAGAGATTTCGACCTCGTGGGTTAATTGTCGTCGCCGCGCGCGCGAAGAATGGAAAAGAAACCTTTTTTCCCTCCCCTCTTGGTGCGAGGAGAGGGAAGTCGGACTTTCCCGTCGGCCTTGCCGCGCGAAGAGGGAAGGCCTGGCTTGCCGCCGAATGGCGCGACGAAGGGAAAATTTTCGTGTCGGTCGCTTGAAAGACTTGTTTTTTAACATCACTCGCGTTATGCGAAATCCCACTTTGGCAGTATCCAGTCGCTACGCGTAACGTTGGATGGATTTAGAAACTTCCACCGCGCTTACACTCTTACCTCACGGATCGCCGAGCACAGTCGCGAACCACGATGGCTATGAGAATTAGCCTTATCGCACCTCCGTCCTCAGGTACGGGACCGACGTCACCATTCCACTCGCATTGCGCGAGCATGCCGCAGCTGTCACTTTCGTTACATCGCACAATGTGGGCGAATTTTTCTTATTTAACGAGCTAAGTTTATCCTTTGATATTTTAACTCCACGCGTGCGCCGCATATAGCCACAAATTGTGTGGTACATCTCAGTGCCATACGATGTGAAACCGATTTTTCTGGGGGATCGCCCAAAGCAGGATCGAAGCTTTAGTATACATGCTCTACTTCTAAATCCCAGGATCTGACGAGCCACTCAAAGCAGCCCCAAAAGAGTGTATGGTCACGGCGTCTGTGTCCTTTGTGGGTCTGCTATTGACGGCTCAACCAACCTTGCTCAGAAAGAGAAGGCTAGGAATCGTGCTGCAAGTCACTGGGCACGATGGAGTTAGTCGGTGATATAGCAAACACAAAAAGGCGATTCGCGACGTGAGAAAGCACTTTTGCCGCACCTAGATCGGTTACATCGGATCGTAGTGTCGTCTGCTTCTTGCAGACGACACTAAGAAGCAGACAGTTCGTCTGCTTCTTGCACAGCGGTTGCGATGACGTCAGAATGCCGCGCTCTCATTGGCTGATTGAAAAAAGAAAATGGTGGGTAGACCTCGAGGTATCTAGCATTGAGGTCTACCCACTATCCAATTCAATGAAAACCAATCAGAGCTCGGCGTTTTGACGTTACCGCAACCCCTTCGCAAGAAGCAGACGAACTTGCTCACCGTATAGTCCTTTTTTCGTCTGCCCTCGCGTCCCCAGCCACGTATACGTTGACAAATCCGGTATGCGGGATGAAAAAAGATAAAGCGAGCCAATCGGAGCAAGCAAAATAATATAGAAAGATGAAGACAATAATGATAGACAGTCGCCATAAAAATGTGAACTTTTTCCCAGTGGTGTGGCGAGAGCAGACTCGGTGTTTTCACGGACACCGGTATTGTTCCGCGAATCATGATGGTGGCAGCCGCGTAAACATTAAAGGTCTATATATCCACATTCCTCTACGTTGGCAGTTTTTGAGGCACCCTTTCTCTTACGAAATAATTTTAAAAATATGTTAACTGCGTTTTTGGGCTAACGCTGTCGCACATTTTACCTTTTTTTTTATATTGAATCGCTTGGCAAAGCCTATCTCATTTCTTTCAATCTAGACGACTGACTTATACGGTCACCGTATCGCTAGCCTCACAAAAAACAGCATACCATCTCGAGGTCACAAATCGATGCTCAATACACTCGGTCATTGAGTCCGCACCTGCAGAAAAGCGCCTTACCTAGCTGTTCTTAACGAGCTCCATCGACATCCTTCACTGGAGCATCCTTGGCAGCGAAGAAAAAAACATTGAAACTATTTCTCCATTGGTCGTGAGAGAACAAAAGCATCTAATAAATTTAGAGGGCTCATGGAATTGCTGCTGCATAGTTTTTTCATCGTCAAAAAAGCGTAGACAGTTGCCTTCTTTGTAAAATGCTACTCGAGGCATTGTTTAGTGTCTGCTCTCTTAGCCTTATGTACCATAACAGACGTGTAATTATCTACGTGTTTTGCATTCCAGCAGCTACACTGGATCGCCGTACAACTTCTATATAGTACATTTGGCACGAAAATCCCGCTCTTTAGATCGCGTGAATAGAAGAGAGCTTCATAATGGTTTTGTCGAAATCCGAACGAGGTATTACTACGTTTCGCACATTGTCGCCGCTCTCTGTGCCAGGGACGTCGTACCCCCCTCTCCTGGCCGCCCGTTTAACGTTTCTTCCTGTCTGCGTTTTCATAACTGCGGACGTCTACGTCACTCCGCTGACGCAATGCGCCCGACCGCCTGGAATACGAGTGCGTAAAGCGTCATTATGTGCTTCGGGGTATTGTTGCAACGCCACCATATGTCATACTTGAAATTATAGTCACTCGCTTAAAGAGGTACGGAAACGAAAATTGAAATTTCTTGGAAAGCACCATATACTTACCCACTGGTAATATAATTTTACGTGGATTTCTGACTAGCTAGAATGTTTCCATTGGTTTTATACTATTTTTATATCCGAACCCGTTAATTAAGAGTGGTGCATTTAGCACCAGTGATGATGATTTGCCAACTTTGGATTGCGATAGTTTTTCGCGCGTTTCATATGAGCTCATAAACAACAAACTATATTAGAGTTTGAAAGACTCTTAGTAAAATATTTTAATTGCGTTAATTTTAATACCCGTAATGTAAAGCTCAATAAACGTCACAATCACAAAAAAATATGCCACTTAACCACAGTCTTTA